TTTTTTTTTTGGTTGCAGCCATTATTGTTGTTTGGCGGGTCCAGGCTGGATTCGAACCAGCCACCTTAGGTGTATGTGGCTGGCATCTTAGCCGCTTGAGCCATAGGTGCTGAGCCGGAGTGGTGTGTTTGGTGCACAGTGCTCAGTAAACAGGAGCTGGACGCAGGGTAAAGGCAGTTCATGAGAGGGGCCGGGTTGCAAAAGGTGGTGGTGAGAATAGGGTGGGAACTAGCTGTCTGCCCAGGATGCCCTGTGGAATTGACTCTGGGGTCATCCCCAGTTCCTGTTCCCCTTTGGGACAATCTGCCTACCCCTACCCCTGGCCACAGTCTCCAGGGCGCCATGTGTGCTGCTGAGGTCCAGGCAGCTCTTGTTCTTGCAGCACCTGGCCAGACTGAGCTGTGACTAGTGTGAGGTCTATTGACTCATGGGTGACCCTGCACTTAACTCTATTTGCTGAGGGCCTGCTGGGCCCCTGTCTATGTGGCCCTGGGGCGAGGGGGCAGGGATGGGTCCCTGAACAGGTGGTCCCTGGGCTGGACCTGGGGTCAGAGAGGCTGGGCTGGCAGTGCAGAGGGGAGCGTGTTCAGGGAGGTGGCCAGTGGGGGTGAGCATAAGTGTTCTAGGATGTGCACATGCTTTTCAGGCTCATGCATCTATGTCACATCAAAGAGGCACCAGCACCTCACCTCACCTGATTGACATAGCACTTGCTGTGTGTGCTGTTTTACACCATTTACAAATGAGGAAACTGGAGTTTGGAACAGGAAGTGGCCTGCCTTTGGCCACCCAGTGAACAGTAGCAGAGTGGGGTTTGCACCTAGCAGTTGAGGTGATGTCTGTGTTCTTAATCCTCAGGCCAGGTTGCTGCTTATCAGGCGGGTGCAGGCAGCACATGGGCATGGCTCAGCAGGGCGGGTGGCAGATGGAGCCTCTTGGGATCCTCAATACCCCAAATGTGTGTCCCTGGTGCCACTCTTGGCCTACCAGTCACTGCAGGGTAGAAGAAGATGTGAGGGCTCGGCGCCTATAGCTCAACCGGCTAAGGCGCCAGCCACGTACACCTAAGGTGGCGGGTTCGAATCCCCAGCCCGGACCCGCCAAACAACAATGATGGCTGCAACCAAAAAATAGCCGGGCGTTGTTGCGGGCTTCTGTAGTCCCAGCTACTTGGGAGGCAGAGGCAGGAGACTCGCTTGAGCCCAGGAGTTGGAGGTTGCTGTGAGCTGTGAAGCCACGGCACTCTACCCAGGGGGACAGCTTGAGGCTCTGTCTCAAAAAAAAAAAAAAAAAAAGAAGATGCTGAGATGAATGGTACATGCTTTTGTTTTGTCTGCAAGCCCCTGTGGGTGACCACAGCCTTGATTTTGAGGGCTTCTGTTTTCTGACAACTTGCCAGATGGGGCAGTCGAAGGTTAGCATGGAGGGCAAGTGTCCGTGGCCCCTGGTGGTACCCACAGGGTCCCTGATCCACTGGCCTCCCCTGCAGGCGGGCTGCATGCTCTTCCCCCACATCTCCCCCTGCGAGGTACGTGTGCTCATGCTGCTGTACTCATCCAAGAAGAAGATCTTCATGGGTCTCATCCCCTACGACCAGAGTGGCTTCGTCAATGCCATCCGGCAGGTCATCACCACCCGCAAGCAGGTGTGCCAGCTAAGCTCTGCCTGCCCCCACTGGAGCCAGTGAGGTGTCAGGCCCAGGCCAGTCTCGGGCCCCCCAGCTGGGTAGCTAAGTTATATGCAACCAGATTGGCTGCAGGCATAACTTGATGTGATGGCAGGAACAGGGGAGTCGGGAGGAGTCTGTGGCTCATTCCTGTCAGGACTTGGTGGGAAAAGTGGCCTCAGGCTTTGAAGAGGCTTTAGCAGGAGGGATGACAGAGGGTGTGTTCCAGTGGTGGGAAGCCCCTTGGAGCAGGAGAAGTGAGGAGCTGCTCATCAAGGAGAAGGCTGGTGTGAGGTTAGACGACTCTGGAGGTTGACTGAGTGTCCTGGTCACACATTGTTTATTGATCATGCCCCCTTTTCTCAGAAGTGTTTGAGCTTGTGTAACACAGGGCTGCCTAGTTCCCAGATATATAGACTCTGGGCTTTGTGCACCAGGTGAGGGGCTGGGTTTTGTCTCAGGTATTGGGAGCCATGGAAGGCTGTGAGCAGGTGAGGGGCAAGGCCAGCTCTGGGGGGTCTCTGAGGCCAGAGTGGGGACTAAGGCAGGATAATGGGCAGGGCTGGGGTCACAGGGTGGGAAGAAGAGACAGGAGGTCTCAGGACACCACTGAGATTTCCCAGGAGTCTGGCCCCTCTCCCCCACCCCACCTTCCCCCTCCCACAGGCAGTGGGACCTGGTGGTGTCAATGCAGGCCCAGTCCAGATCGTCAACAACAAGTTCCTGGCATGGAGTGGTGTCATGGAGTGGCAGGAGGTGAGTGCCGGGTGGTTGGGGGATCTGGGTCTGCTGTATCCTTGCTGTCTGGGCTGTGAGGGGACGCTGGAGTCCAGGTGCCCTCTCTGAGGTCTTTTTTTTCCTCCCCCTCTAAAAGCCCAGGCCTGAGCCCAACAGTCGGTCCAAAAGATGGCTGCCATCTCACGTCTACGTGAACCAAGGGGAGATTCTGTGAGTGCTGGGCTGAGGGCAGAAGCACTGTCTCTGTGAGACAGGCCACCTGACCCTTGCCCCCTCATGCTCTACAGGAGGACTGAGCAGTGGCCGAGGAAGCTGTACATGCAGCTCATCCCACAGCAGCTGCTGGTGAGTGAGGGGGGAAGATGTGGGACAAAAGCTTTCCAGGTGTGGGGCAGGAGTGGGAAGGGTACTTCCCAGGGAGTTGGCCGCTGGAGGAGGAGCAGCAGAGCAGGCCAAGGTGGAGAGTGGGGGCCAGATGGAGGGCAGCCACCCAGCCACACCTGTCCAGTGAAGGTGGTGAGTCCTCAGGCCTCACCTGAGGACTTCTAGGAGCCTAGCCAATCACTGTGTTAAGGCTGAGTGAAGTAGGGCAGGGGTAACCAGAGATTGTTAGTGTTGGGGAAATGGAGGGGTTTGGACTGAAGCTGTTGCTGTCAGGTACAAGCAAAGCAGAGGCATTTGAATCTGCTAGGGGCTGGGGCTGGCTAAAGATTAGGGTGGAGGGTCAGGGCTCCTGGGTTCCCATGTAGACGGGACGCATCCCATGCACTGTAGTGTAGCGCTGACAGGGTGCCTTGGTTTGGTCCTGGGGTGGGGGGCAGGGGTGAGGCAGGAAGCCCTGGGGAGAGCTGAGGGCCAGACTCTCCCTTGCAGACCACCCTGGTACCACTGTTCCGGAATTCCCGCCTGGTGCAGTTCCACTTCACCAAGGACCTGGAGACGCTGAAGAGCCTATGCCGGATCATGGACAATGGCTTTGTGAGTGTGGCCTCGGGTGGGTCACTCTGGGCAGATGGCTCTGTGATGGAGCTGCTTCCTGGATTGGCTGGGGAGGTGATTGCAGCCTAGGGAACACGGGCTTCCTAGTGCTTAGACCTGTCCTGACCTTGCCACACAGAGAGGAATGCACCCACAAGGCCTTCCCCTCCTCTGCCATATCTGGGTTTACTCAGGGCCATGAGGGGTTGATGGCACTGAGTGCCCTCTGTGTTTTGCTGGGCAGGGAGGCTGGAGGGCTATCTGACTCCAGTTCAAGGTCTCAGGGTACCTAGTGATGACCTTGTTCGGTTGTTCTTGGCTGAGTCCTTTCTTCTTTCTGGGCCTTAGTTTTCCCGTCTGTAAGATGTGGAGAGTTGCACTTTGGTTGGCTTAGCTCTGGCCCTTTCCGTATTAGGGTGATTATTTTTCTTGAAATTATGACATTTCCCTCTAAGCCACTCTTGAGCAGTAATATCTGTACAGCTGTGCACCAGGGCCTGGCTGCATGTTACAGAATTTTATGGTAATTTATGTGAGTTCTCCTGGGAAAACTTATAAAGGCCTTGTGTAGCCCTGGGTGCAGAGCTAGCCTCCACCGGGCTCTGTTAGGCTCCTGAGTTGGGGCCATGTGCTCTTCCAGCTGCTGTTGGCTCTGGTAGCTGCGGTGAGGGTGCCATAGGCACAACCTCACCTGCCCAGGACCTCTCAGCTCCTTTTGGGTATACATTATTTTGGGGTCCCCCAGGCAGTGCACAGGGCTGAGACCTTGTAAATCCCTTGAGTTCTTGGCCTCAATTTCCCCCCTCTGTACAGTGGCGACAATTTTGTGTAGGATTCAGTGAGACCCATCAGGGATGGACATGGTGTCATCACACAGCTCCTGGCCGAGATCTGTGGTGGTCATGGGGAGACTGGTGGGAGGTTGGCTGCACAACCTTTCCCCTAGTCATTCGGAAAGAGGTTGGGGTGTTGTGCTTACTGGGGCCAGCACCATGCCCAGTCTGCTGCATGCCTGTATGTCAGCCTGTGGCACCGTGTTGTCAGTGGATGCTGCAGTTCCCCTGGAGTTTGTTCCATGTGGATTCCAGGGCTACTCTGTGCAGAGCCCATTGGCCCTAAGCCCACCTGTGGCTCTTGCTAGTATCTCCTTATCCCCCAGATGGGAGTAATGGCAGTGCCCACCCCTGGGGGTTGTGGAGACAAAGCAGTTAGGGTACACCTAGCTCAGTGCACTCCATGGTGCCAGTGCTGTCTGAGGGACACTGGCTTGTGCAGTGGTGTGTCCCCTAATAAGGCACCCTGTGCCCTCTAGGCTGGCTGTGTGCACTTTTCCTATAAGGCTTCATGTGAGATCCGCGTGCTCATGCTCCTATACTCCTCGGAGAAGAAGATCTTCATCGGCCTCATCCCCCATGACCAGAGCAACTTTGTCAACGGCATCCGGCGCGTCATTGCCAACCAGCAGCAGGTCCTACAGCGGAACCTGGAGCAGGAGCAGCAGCAGCGGGGGGTGAGGAGGGCTCTGGGCCCCCCAGGGCTGCCTGTCCCCCCCTCCAGCCCCCCCCACTGACTCTTCTTGTTTCCTCCCCATAGATGGGGGGGTAGTGGCCACCCCCAAGGCTGGGCCCCTCCAGGAGTCACAGATGAGGCCCCCGCAGAGACTGGTGAGTGGTGACCGTGTGGTGTGCAGGATGGATCCTTGGACATGCTGGGGCTTTCAGGAAGAAGTATGGTGACCCTGACCTTGGGAAGACCAGAGCAGTGGCCTCCTGGGAAGTTTCAGACCTACCCCCAGGCAGAGGACTCCCAGGGCACAGGGGGCTGTGCTTGGAGCCCTGGCCATGTCCTCCCACTGTGTCCCCTGCTCTCAGGTGAGATGCTTCTGAGCTGGGGCCCCTGGGGACTGCAATTGCCCAGCAACACAGAAGACAGTGTCCTGACGTCTCCAAGGACATTCCCCACCCCTGTATGTTTCCCCAATAAAAGCTTTTAAAAATCTGCCTACTGCTTCTGCTCACTGCCCAGGTGTCAGGCAGCCTCCAGCCCTGCATGGAAGGCTGAGCCTTGTCCACCCACTCATCACTCCTCACCCCATGGCTATAATGCTCAGGTCTGGTACCAAAAGGATCCCCTGATCTATGTGGCATGTAGGCACACATATGTCTTTTTCTTTTGCAGTTTTTGGCCGGGGCTGGGTTTGAACGCGCCATCTCCAGCATATGGTGCTGGCGCCCTACTCCTTTGAGCCATAGGCACCACCCAGCACATCTTAATGTGCTTCTAGCAGTGGCCAGGGCTGCTAGTGTGCAGCCAGGCTTTTGAGATACTGTCACTTGAGCTGGAAGGCCAAACAGCTCAACATGGAGCTGTTGTAGGTGGATTCCCCAGCTTTGACTAGGTGGGCCTGTGGTATGTGGGGTGGTCCTCAAGGGCCTCACCACATCCTCTGTAGATACTGCTGCAAGCATGAGGCTATGTCCTCCCTGTGTGGCTGTTGTCAGTGCCTCCAAGGCTGTGCTTCTGGTTTCCCTTTGGATCCAACAGGACTCATTTGGCTGTAAGCAAAAAGGTGCCCAGGGACATCTGCCTGTTGCGGTGGCTCAAGCTGCAAGTCTGGCTGGCCCAGGTACTCTTCAGGTCTCAGGACTGGATCTGGCTGTTGGCTGTCCTCAATCCCCTAGCAACAGTTCCAGACCCATACTCGCTAGGGTAAAGTCCAGTGTCAGTCAGAATATGAACCCTGGGTTTTGTTCCCATGTCTTTGAACCAAACTCTGGGTAGGTCACCTGGGCCCACAGGGTGGCTATGGAGAGGTCCACCCAGGGCCCTGCCCTCTGGATTTGCCATGCCCACAACAAGGTCCCAGCAAAGCCTTAATCCCCTGAGCAGGGCCAAGGCAAGTTCCTGGATTGTATGTGGGTCTCCCTCCAAACCAAGCTGGATCCTGACCCAGAGGGACAGATGGGTAGTACCAGCCATCTGGCACTTACTTTTCTGTTTCCTGGAAATGTCCCTAAAGTCTGTGTATAAGAAACAAATAGCTGCCTGGAGCAGGCCTGTGGCAGGGGACCTCCAGCGGGGACCCTCACCACCCTCCTTCCAGCAAAATGCTGGCCAACCTTAAGGAAAAATAGCATTTATTGTGGGGCAGGGCCAAACAGGGCTCAGAGCTCAGCCCTCAGAGAACTGGCGGTATAGCCGCTCTAGTGGTGGCTCTAGCTGCAGCCGGAAGGGGATCTCCAGGATCTCCAAGAAGCCTTCAGCCTGTGTTGGGGCCACGAACTGCTTCCTGGTGGCAAATGGGACAGTGACAGGAGTCCTGGTCTACCACCCCTGGCACCCACCCCATGCCTGCCCCGTGAGGTACCTGTAGCTGAACATGACCATGTCCGACACAGGTGCATGTGAGGAGCCAGTCATCTCTCGGAACTATAGGGGGTACCAGAGAGGGCAAGACAGCAGGCCCAGAAGTCAGGAGGGGCCAGGGCAGCTGAGGGGAAGTGGACTCTTGGTGAGGAGTAGGGTGGCTCACCCGGTTGTTGTGTCGAGCGTGCTCAAGGGTGGCAGTGAAGAGGAAACAGCGGCAGGGGACACCGGCGTCTCTGGCACACTGGATATACCTATCGGAGCCAAGAAGGTACTAGGCATTTGCAGGCCCTGGCTCACCCTACCAAGGGCCTTCCACAGGGCCTTGTTACCTGGCCCGGCTGGTGGCATCTGGGTTCGTGTTATCAATCACAACCCGTTTCCCTTGCTTTAGAGCTGTCTCACATGTGGTCACACAGCGCTGCCATGAGCCCAGTGTGTCCTGGGGAATGTAGGGAGAGCAGGTCATAAATGGGGAGACCCAGTAGGACAGAAGCCCCTGAACTGGGGCAGAGAAACAGGAGATACAGCAAGGTGGTGACAAAGGGAGCGAGCCCCAGAGAGACTGGGATTGTGTGGTGGGAACTGTGCAGATGGGTCATACCCTGTTCACATAGACGTATCCGGCTGACACAAGATGCTCCGTGAGGAAGGTAGACTTCCCGGCTGTGGGGGACAGTGTCAGTGGGTGGCTTAGGACCAGTTGGGGGGTTTGGACATCCAGAGAAAGGGGCTAGGGCATCTCACCCCCAGGAAATCCCACGGCAACCACCACCTCTGGGTTGGATCTCAGGAGGGAGCTGGATTCAGGGAGGCAGAGAGGCCCAGAGATGGACACAGTCCTCTGGAAAGGACCAGACAAGATGCGTTAGACCCTTGCCCCAGGCCCACAGCCCTCCCCCAGTGCGCCAGGCCTCACCGGGTCGAAGGCAGGAAGCTGGAAGCTGGCCACCGGCCACTTAAGAAAGAACTCTTCAGGTGTGGCGAAAGGCAGGCCAAGGTTGAGGGCAAACTGGGGGTGAGGGCACAGGTCAGAGTGCAGGGTCAGACTCCTGAGGGGGTGGGGCAGAGGGAAAATGTGGGGATGGGTGGGGCCTCACCAGGCGGTCTGCACAGGAGAAGTCTTTCTTCTTCCGCCCAGGGGCCCAGTTGGCTGGACGTCCAGCTGCATCTGAAACGCACAGGACACCCTCTCTCTCCACCAGCAAACTTGAACAGGCAGTCCCAGCCAAGCCATAGCACTCTCACCTTACCTCCCACAAAGACACTGTCCTCAATGGAGATGGGCACACCCTCATTTGCCTAGGAAAGACAAGCAGAGATGACCCACTTCCCACACTGCCTATCCCGAGTGTTATGGGGCTCTTTGGGGCTGCTCTGCTTGGTCTATGCCCTGCATTAGACCTCATCTCTTGACCTTACATGTCCCCATCTTCCGACCCCTTCTCACCAGTCCTTGTCACCACCTCCACCAGGATCTCACCACCACTGCCTCTCACTTGGACTAGTCAGTTATCTGTTCCCCACAAAGCCGCCAGGGGGCGCCATTTGCCACTTATGTCCGCCCTATCCCCTCTTCTGGAGCCCTTCCTTGGCTCTTGCCTCACCTCACTCAGGATAAAAGTAAGTCTTCACTGCAGCTCACAGGGCCCTTCTTTCTCTTTTTGCTTACTCAGGGCCAGTCACCTGGGCTAGCCCATGTCAGTAAACCATGCAAGGCCCAGGCCTACCTCAGGGCCTTTGCACTCAGGCTGACACTCTTGTCTGGACTTGCCCAGGCATCCACATGGCTCCCTCACCTCCTTTACATCTTTACTCAAATGTCACCTTCTCAGACCATCCTTGAGCACTGTAGCTAAACCAACACCTTGCTTCACAAATCCCTGCTATTTTACACACAGTCTATGCACTTCTAGTTGCTCCTCTGTTGGGGTAGCCATGTCTGACTCATTCACTGTCTTCAACTCAAGAATGGGCTGAACTTCAGAACAAATGCACACACAAAAGTGTAGTGAATGAATGAATGAACAATTTCTCTCTAGACCACTCTGATTTTCAGAGTTCAAGAGTATTGTCCTCATAAACCAACAAATAGGATATGACAGGTAAAAACAGAAGGCAGGGACCAAGGGAGTAAAGATAAGGAGACAGAAAAAAGCTAGGATCAGGCAGGGCATGGTGCCTCACACCTGTTGTCCCAGTGCTGTGGGAGGCCAAGGGGGTGCATCGTCTGAGCTCAGCTGAGTTCAAGACCAGCATAAGACCAGCATGAGACAGAGTGAGCCAGAGTGAGACCTCTTCTCTACAAAAAACAAAACAAAACAAAAAAAACCGGGCATTGCGGCAGGCGCCTGTAATCTCAGCTACTTGGGAGGCAGAGGGCAAGAGAATCGCTAAAGAAAGAAAAACAACAACAACAACAAACCAGGATCAGAGGCTCAAACGGTGACCAGAACAGGGAATAAGAGGGTGGCGGGGGTTGGTGGCAGCCCAGCTTACCCGCTCTTGCAGATGGTCCCACATGCCTGTCACTGGCTTCCGATACAAGCCTGCATGTGTGGCCACCAGCACCTGTGAATGAGGAGGGTCACACCATCTTCAGCTCCCCCAGAGCACCCACTGGATGCTATTCTGACTCTCACCAATCCAAGAAAGCTGCCAGTGCCCCAGAATTGGCAGCTTTTGCTGGGTTTCTATCACCACAATCCCACCTGAGGCCTCCACCCCACTCACCCTAGGGTCTCTGTCTTCCCCACTTGTTCAATTGGGGTCTCATACCTTCTCTCTGGGTCTCCCATATAGCCCCTCAGCCTCCTTTACAGCTGTACCTGGAAGGGGACCCCCAACTTCTCCACCACAGCCTCCACCTTAGCCTTGAACTCCTCTGCTGGCAGCTTTCCACGCCCAATGCCCATTTGGTTGGTGAAGATCACCAGCTGGGAAGCAGATTGGTGTTACCAGGTACCCTCCTCACCAGGACCCCGGTCTGTTTTGCAGTCTGGCCACCACACCCACATGAACAGATGTTATATGCACATACCTTGTAGCCCTCTGCTTCCAGTTCTTGGAGCTTCCGTGGAATCTCTAGGTACAAGATCCTAGGGTGGGTAGGAAGTGGAAGGGTGACCTAGAGCCGGGAGGTGGACTCCAGGCCTCACTCACACCATTCTCTTGCCTCGTATCACCTCCAATCACTGGGGCCAGTAGGAAAGACCTTCCCAGAACGTGTGGTGATGAGCGTCCCATCCAGATCAAAGCCAGCTACCTAGTGTTGTCAAGAAAAGAGGAACAGCAGCATCCTCACCCTCTAACCCTCCTCACTCATAAGCTGACTCATACCAATCTTATAAGGCAGGGTCTATTGTTACCCCCCTCTTAGAGATGGGGAAGCTGAGCAACATGCACTATGCATCTGTGTGACCTCTCTCTAAGTGCACAGCCCAAGATCTTCACTGGCTCCTGTTACTCCTATGCCCCACCTCAGTGTTTCAGTCTTTAAAATGGGGGTTAATATCTTAGCCACCCTCTTCTCCTGCCCTCCTCCACCACAGAGGGTTAATAACCATGAAAATAAAAACAGGAGCAAATCTTTGTTTGGGTGCCCCATGCTTTTCATGAAATCATCATCGTAGAGGTAAGAGAATTGGGACTCAGAGAAAGTAGTGGTCACAGGATTGGAACTCTAGTCTCTCTGGCCCTAAAATGATACTTGTAATTCCTGCTGAAGTGGTCATGATCATTGCTGATTACTGGGTGGTTCTGTGGGTCAGACAGGAGCTGAAACATACCACTTTCCCTACTGCTTACAATGACCCTTGAGTTTGTCATCAGGCTCATTTCTCAGAACAGTAAGTAAAGGTTAAAAGTAGTAGAGACAGGGGCACAGAGCAAACTTAGGATTCAGTCCCAAGTATGTGGCTGCTCTCTTAGACCTCAGCTTGGCCCTCACCTTGCCCTGGGGCTTCACCCCAGAAGCTGTGAACACTAACAACTTTCCAAAGTTCTCCCAGTCGGAGGATGACTTCCGAATACGCTTTTTCTGCTGCTCAGCATCCTCCTCTTCATTCAGGGCCACTGGAGGGGTGCCGGGTGGAGCATCTGGCTGGGATCCTGGTGTGCCAGTCTCTTCAAAGCGCAGGGTCAGTGGGTGGAGGCCATTGACCAAATACAGTGTGTCCCCCACCCTTAGAGAACCCTCCAACCCTGGCTTCAACTCCTGGATCCCCACAGTTGAAGGGTTAACTCCCAGCTGCAGAGAAAGAGGGAGGTGCTGTGACCAGCTCCGTGACCAAAAGACAGCTCCTCCAATCAAGTACCCTGAGAAAGCACTTGCCTTTCTGCATGAACTAATCAGAACCTTAAGCCCTACCTCTTCACTATACACTACCAATCAAGGCTTTGGAAAGATTATACAGGTTTCCAGTGTTGTCTAATTTGAAAGGAAATGAAGGGACACTTCATTGAAAGGGGCAATATTTCTTCATTCTCTTCCTTTGCTCCTCGACAATCAGATTTTTCTTTTGAGACAGTCTTATTGTCACTGTGGGTAGAGTACCGTGGCATCACAGCTCACAGCAACCTCAAACTCTTGGGCTTAAGTGATTCTCTTGCCTTAGCCTCCCAAGTAGCTGGGACTACAGATGCCTGCCACAACACATGGCTATTTTTTTGTTGCAGTTGTCATTGTGGCTTTAGCTGGCCCGGGCTGGGTTTGAACCCACCACCCTCGCAACTGGTGCCCTACCCACTGAGCCACAGGTGCTGCCCTCAATCAGATTTTTCTAATGGGCCTGTTCACTTGCTAGCTTGTGATTTCTCCCTGAACCCCACCCCCAGGCCTTGCTGCCCCTTGCAGAGGTACCTGTTTCACTGCCACTGTCCGGTTTTCAAGATCTGCGACCAGCTCCACTGAGGGTTGAGGGGGTAGAGTCAGGATTTACATACTTTCATGATTGGTTCCCTCATCACTGGGGAGTGTAGCCAGATTCAGGTTACAGCATCCATTGAAGGAATAGAATTGGTTTATTTCTAAATGGGATTGGCTACCTGACATGCAATAGTCAGAGAGAAGCCCTGGGATTGCCTGACTCTGGTACTTGTCTAGGGGCAGGGTGGATACTTTTCTCTAGTGAAGTGACTTCCTCCTTGACAAAAACTGTGGCTAGAGGTTCCTAGGCTTTGCCTGTTACAGTCCATTCCTTCCTAGACAAATTAACTTTCCTCTATAAGATGTTTCTTTGGCAAGGGTCGTGGCCTGTTCCAGGCCTTCACAAGGGTTTATGAGCATCCTTCTCTGCCTAGTGACCATTCTTCCAGAATTGGCTTCATCCCCTCTCCCCCATGGCGTCCGCCTAGTTCTAAGTCAAGCACAACCTTTCTCTTTCTGCGCTCCCCACAGGGCATCTTCCAACTTCGGGACTGGCTGCACTACACAATCTCACCTAGTAGCCAACCATGTCCTTCACTGAATTAACTGTCCACCTTTGCCACTGCCAGTGTTCCCGCTCCTGAAGCAGGTCCCGCCCACCTTGGTTTCTGGAGCACTTCCTGTCCGTAACCTGGGTCAAAGGTCCCCGGCCTAGAACCAAGGCTTGCCCGTCTGAGGGTAGGAAGATTGGGGGCGCCCCTCCAAGGGGGCTCTCCAGCCATAGGCGGCCCTGGACTTCCACCTCGGCCATCCTGGGAGCCGGCCTAGGAGGGAAAGCAGGTAAACGGGTTTCGAGGTTAAGTCGCCTAGGGTGCTGCAGGAAGTCCAGCCTCCTCCCACTTCCACCAGGAAATCCCTCCATCATCTCAGGACTCCGGAAATCCCGCCTTTTCCTAGGCAACGACGCCGGTGCCATCCATCGGCGTGTTGGACTCCCTACTTCCCTAACGCAGAGACAGAGAGCCTTCCGATTACCCCCGTTTCTCCCCCACACTCACCTGTGCCCGCCTCTCGGGTTCAGGCGACACTTCTGACCAAAGCGGTTGCTAACTGAAGCTTTACCGTCTGCCCCTCCGCTGGTGGTTGGCGGTTTCTCGGCGGACGGAAATGACACGTCCCACGGAGGCGGGCGGGGCCTTGGCTCCTCCCATTACAGAAGCGCCGTCCCTTCCCAGACCTAGGTACCTTAGGGTACTTTTGCCACTCTGGCATTCATCTCTTGCTGCAATGTGATGCTCAAGCAGTAGGAGTGGATGCTCCTTTTGCAGATTTTCCTCTTTCCACTTTGGCCTCTAAGCTCTTTCTTGCCCCTGACAGCACCCATACTCCTAGATTGTTCTTTTGCTTTAACCTCAATGCTGCAGTTTTCTCACCTGCAGAGATAATCGTTTCCACGTCGTGGTATTACTACGATTAGAGGAATTAATACAGTTTATACGTGTTTGAGTAGTAGCAAGGCCTGTTTGTCTATTGTTAGCACTCGTCTCCTGGGTCTCATGGGAGATGGAGATTCTCACTTAAGACCACATGTTCTACCTTCTAACCTCCAACCATGTTATGGTAGGAAATTCCCTTCTGGAGGTTCCTGGCTTTGCCGAGATAATACGTGGGCTCCAGAGAATGATTTCTTAAGGACTATGCCGGCTCCAACACTCATGCCCCTGAAGATTTGGATTCCATGGTCACACAGGACTGAAATGCTCTCCCCTAATCTATGAATCTCCATTTTCTTATCCGTAAAATTGGGACAGTCATTACAAGTCCTAGCTTTGCTCTTAGAACCAGCTGCTGCTCATTCAACTTCATGAAATATCTGTTGAGTAACACACTTCACACTCAATTCGTCAGAGGTAAAACTCTTTTACTTCAGAGCGTCCCTCCCAACTCCGGATCCCCTACTCCCACTCTCTCCCCCACACCCAGGGCCGGAGAGTAAGGCCCCAGCCCCCCACCTCGGGTGGACGAGGGCCCTTTAAGGCACCTGTGGGGTTTGGGGGAGAGGAGCGGGAGCTGGTACAGTCTTGGGTGCAGGTACAGGCTTCAATTGGCAGGTTGTTGTAGGGATGGAACGGATGAGGGGTGTGTGAGACACAGGGACAAGAGTAGGCCCTCCCTGAGGAGGCCAAGGGTACAAGTTGGCAGGGCTTGGGCAAGTATAAGACCCCAGCCCTAGTAGTGTAAAGAACTTAAATTGAAAGCTGAAGGCCAATTCTGGGCACAAGGTGGGGCTTGGCCACGCCCCCAGGAGACTGGGGCCAATCAGGTGGGAAAACTCAGGAAGGGCTGATGGAGACTCTTGGGAAATCGGTCAAGCCCTTTGTAGGATTCGAGCCAATCAAATGAAGGAGCTGGCCAGTCACTACGGTGCAGTGAAGGCGCCACTACCCAATCCTAGGCCTTGGCTGTGCTCTACCAGCGAGAGAGCCAATGCCATGCAAGCAAAGCCCTTGTCGCTAGGCAGAAACCGGATTTGACCCATTTACGGCTCAGATAGCTCCGGGGCTGGCGAGTAGCGAGTCAATCCCTAATAGAATCCGTCGCTGGGTAGAGAAAGCGACAGAACCAATCGGGAGGCCGAATACATCCCGCTCCTCGGTGCCAAAGATCGGCAGGAACTGCTCAATCCGAGGGCCCGAGGAGGCGTGGGGAGGCCGGCCCCACGTAGGATCCTGACTGATGGTCCCCGGGGACGTGGCGGGGGTGTAGTGTGGTGCCGGGAGGACTCAGGACCGGAGGCTCCCTCTCTGGGCTTCAGTACTTCCGCTTCAGTTTCTGGAAGTCACTGGTGTTGAGCCTTGGCCGAGGCAGGTCCCCGAAGACCTGGGTGTCCTCGGCCTCCCGCAGCACCAGCGCGCGCATGCTCGCCGCGATCCGGTCCAGGTCCGGCGAAGAGGGCTGCAGGGACAGCGAAGTCGAAGGGTCAGTGCTGGCACCTCTAATCCCACTGCCAGCAATGGCCTTCACCTTGTCCTGCCCCATGCAGCCCTTCTACCTCAGACACACCTCCTCCAAGAAGCCTCTCCTGCTCCCCTTCTTGGCTTAGACTTCCACACGGTGGAAGTGCTCTTTGTCCACTGACCATTAAGGCTGTACACCCATCCAGTCTCATGTCTGAGAATATTGGCTGGGGATTCAGTCATGTTCCAATCAGATCTCTGTTCTGACTGAGAAAACAAGAGTTTTCACCTCCCTAGGCCTCAGTCTCCAGCTCTGAAAAATGGGGCTGATAATAGGGTCCCTGTGAGGGCTGAGGGGAGATAATCAACAGTTACTGTTCAAGAATGAAATAACACGTGGCCACTGCTATACAGAAAGGATCCCCCACACATATGGGCCCCCAATGGGGAGGGGTCCTACAGCCCCAGCACCCATGGTGCCTTCGCTGCAGACCTAAGTAGAATGGGAGACGCCACTGGCAGCACTGAGACCTGAGCTGGACAAGAGAACAAGAATTGAACATACACTTAATGTGTTTTTTTGAGCTGCACACAAGGACAGCCATGGCTGATGGACCTGCCAGCAGGCCCTGTTCTCTGTCTCCAGCTGTCACTGCCTCTCTGGCCCCCCTACAGCCCGAGGAAGGGAGGGGGTCACCTTTGTGATCTCTGGTTTGCAAATGAAAATACTGAGGCCAGAGAGAGGCACTAAAGTGACCCAGGCCTCCTCTCTCAAGCCCACAGCTCCTTCCCAAAAAGAAGCTGGTTCCAGTTCCAGTTGTTCCTTATAGGCCCAGACTCATGAAAGTAACATGTCCTCTGAGTGCTTTGGTTTAGAGTTTCAGTAATAAATAAGGAGGACCCACTAAGGCAGGCCAGCCCAGTGTCATGAATGAGGACAGAAGACAAGTGGGTGGGGAAAATTCTGGAAGATACCAGGAATGTGTAAGATAGGCATAGGGGGCTGATGTGAACCCCCGTAGCCTCAGTTTCTTCATCTGGAGGAAATGCCAAAATACCTGTGCCTTGCCCAGGGCAGGTGTCCTAAAATGGAGCTGCTCCTGGAATGGGGAAGAGGCTTCTCCACAGGGCACTAGGACACACTGAGGCTGCAAAAGTGAGAAGTGGAGGGCTGTGGCCCAAGAACCCACCTCTTGAGCTGAGGAGAAGACTCAGTCAGGTAAACGGGTAAGGGCTTCATGAAGGAGGTGTCTCTGAGCCCTTCCAGCCATATTCCCTCTCTCCCCAACCCCTAATGCCCCATTTGTCCCTCACCTGCCCATTCTCCTCATCTGATGACCGTGCCTCTGTCCTCTTCTCCTTAAAGGCCCAGACAGGAACGGACACAGGCAGAGACTTGGCATACTGCTGTGTGGGCAGGGCTGAGGCTGGGGTCACTGAGTAGGTTGGGGGGGCAGCAGGGGTCTCCTCACTCAGGCTGCCATCTGGAAGAGAGGGTAGTCCTTCAGCCTCTGTTCCTGCCCTAGTGCCAGCCCCCCAGGCATGGGGACAGCCTGGGACACTCACCATCTGTGCTCTCAGGATCCGACTCACAGAAAGGGGGCAGGTCCTGGAGGGTGGCATCCTCATCCATCACGAAAAGCCCTGTGGATGGCATTAAAGGCCCTGGCTTGTAGGCTCTCTGCCATATTCCATGTGTCCTCAACTCCAGTTACCGCCACCAACTCCCTGCAGATTTTGTAATTACTATACCTTCTGGCTCAGATACCCTTTCTCTAGTTATCTACCTATCACCTGCACAAACGAATCCAGGTTCTGTCACTGTTATACTCTCAGGTGCAAATAACTGGCTCCATTAATGTGAAATCTCTCTAAGATTTGTTTGGAATGATGCGACTCAAATACAGGCTGAGAGAAATATGGGATTATGATCCCCATTTGACAATGGAGACCCGGAGGCCCAGAGAGATCAAGTCACTTGCCTAAGGCCTCATAGCTAAGTGGCATCACCAGGATCTAAACCCAAGATGCCTGGCTTCAGCATCTCCCTTTACCCTATGCAGGTTTTCTCCCAACACTGGAGTCAGCCATTGGTAATAACCAATGAGTTACTCCTATTTGCTGAGCTGCCTGAAAACTCCTATTCACTCCTCAAAGCCCTAGTGTTATACTCTAGCCTCTGGGAAGCATCCCAATCTCTTGCTAAGGATGTAACCCTGCCTCTCGTGGCCTTCACAGGCCATTGCCTTGTGTCAGGACTCTAATTCATTGGCCAGACTTGGAGCCTCTCAAGCAAAAGGCATGTATCTGCTTTGTCTCACTGTGCAATACTCTCAGCACAGAGCTGGTCCTGGGACGGTAGAGTAAGGAAACCAATAAAGCTCAAAGAGGGAAAATGGCTGGATGAAGGTCACATAGTGAGTCAAGGGCAAGCCGGTCATAAGAACGCAGCTTCCAAGGAACATCAGGGCTCTGAGATAAGCAAGTCCTGCCCCACAGAAAGCCTCCCTCTGCCCGCTCACCTCCGTTATCACTCCCGCCCAGCCGCTCCCCGGAGGTCTCAGTCTCTGTTGGCTCATCCTCATCTTCCCCATCATCTTCCGTGGCCAGGGCAGGCCGGGGTGGGCTAGGTGCAGGGCTGGGTGGCTGTGGTGCTGGTGGAGGTGCGGGGGGCCGGGCTGCAGTAGCAGCCCTGTGGGCCAGTGCGATGTCATGGAGGCAGCGGCGGGCAGCCTCTGCCAGCGCCCCCCGGCCATGGGCCGCATAGGCACAAGGGCCTGGGCGGGGTGGCGGTGGTGGGGCAGCAGTTAGCAGCACCAGTTCCGTCCCAGTCCGGGCCCGGAAGCGCTCAGCGGCCCCCACCACAGCCTCCCACAGCTCCTCAGGGCGCCCTGACGCCATCCACACCCTGTGGGCCAGAGCAGGACAGAGGGGGCTGAAGCTTCTTGGCTCACTACACAATTCTTACCCAGCCCCTGGATGCCACTTGCATCTGCCCCCATGTACCCTGTCCCAGCCATGCTCAGTGTCCTTCCAAACCCACTCCTCTGGCAGAGAGGAGCCATGAGTGTAAGACCCACGTGGATTCAGAAGATTGAGCACAGAAAAGTACAATATTTAAATGTTTTAGACTGGCCAAACAAAATACATGATTAAAATAAGTTGCAACTGTTTTTTTACCTTCTTAACTTAGCTTCTAGAAAATTTAAAGTTACACATGGGGCTTGCATCATATTTCTGCCAGCCTCTGTCCTGGCTTCCCCCTATTCTGTCTCATACAAGCCCAAGAGTCCCTCCATACCTGGAGCTGACCTTGGCATTTGAATCCCCAGGACAGGGTCCCAGGCCCTCAGCCTAACCCTGACCTCACAGGATATATATGCTTCCTTGGCCTTCCAGAGCCTCTGAGGTCCAAGGCCTTTGGACAAGGCGATCCCTGTATGTGGAAATCCACCTGCAAAGTTTCTGTGCTTCCTAAGAGACCCTGTTCTGACAGTTCCTGTCTAGGTCTTCCCTAATTCCCAGGATAAGTCGCATGCCTTCACAAGCTCCCAAAATTTCCTGGGATCCCTCCTTCATACCTCATGTCACCTGAGCTTGTGACAATTGTACCTCTGCCTGCTTCTTCTATCAGACAGAGATCTCCCTAAGGTCAGGGATTCCCAATCCCAGTCCAGATGATTATATCTCCTTACCAGGCAAGAAGAGCAAGGGGTGAGGAGGCTGGGTTCCTGCCCCGACTGTCTCAAACCTGTTGTGTGACCTTGGACGACTCACCAGCCCTCTGTGTGCCTCACCATTTCTTCCCCCTGTTAACCACAGTGGTTGAGCCAGAGCTACTGGGTAGCAGAAGAGGCTCCTTGGGGAGGTGGTAAGCATGTTCACTGGAGAGGTTTAAGCAGACTTGTCTAGCCCACCAAGGTTGTCATGAATGGGAGTAGGGAATCCGGATTCAATTTTCCAGCCCTGTGCAACTCCTAATCACAGAAGCCAGTGTTTGCTGAGTGATCCCACACTCGGTACTTCACCTCGGGCAGGCAGGAACCCAAGGGTGTGATCAACCTTCTTTCCCACCCTTGCACCCAACCAACAAGGTGGGACTGTTATGCCCCCCACTTTATAGTTGTAAATTCAGGTCCAGGGAGATTCAGCATCTTGACCAAGGTCACACAGCTGGAAAGAGGAAGGGCTGGGACTTGGACTCTGATAAAATCCCAACTGACATTCTGCCAGCTTCATGAGAAAAGATTTATGATCTAACCCAGAAGAGGAAAGTGAGGTTAAGAGAGCCTAAGACAATGGCCAGAGAACACACAGATAGAAAGGGCAGAAGTGGGGTTGAAACTCAGAGCTAGGTGTCCAGTGTCTCAAACACACTCCTCATGTTGTCATCTTATGAAGGAGGAAAGCGAGGCTCAGAACATGGAAATGCCTAGTCCAAGGTCACATTGTCTGGCAGTGCTGGGCCTGGGGCTTTCATGTCTTTGGACTCCTATTCCCTAATGACACATGGAGAATAAGGGGAGCAGACTCAAGATTAAACTTTCTTCTGTACTACATCTTGGAGTAGCCACAAGGTTGAAGAGAGTGAAATTGGGGAGAGTGGATTGTGGAGGCTCCCCCACATCTGAGGGGAGGCATGGGCAAAAGGGGCAGGGTCACTTACACCTTTCTGCCCAGGCCTTGGCCTCTCTGGAGTCTCTTACCCAGCAGACAGTAGCCAGTACCCCTTCAGCTTATGGAGGAAGTCATGTCCCCTCCAAGAAGCTGTCAGATGGAGAAAGAACCCAGCCCCAGTGGAGGAGTTTGCCACTGGGGAGAAGTTGAGAAAGAGCTGAGACCTGCCCCCAGAGGAGGAACAGTAAGATGACTGGCCTCCTAGAATGAGGAGAGAAGGAAAGAAAGTTAAGAGGAGAGGAGATAGAGAAAGGAAAGTAACTCCAGGAAGACGTGAGGAAAAGTCCCCCAAGTAAAGAGGAATGCTACTGAACCCTCCCCTTGTCAAAATTCAAGTGCCCCTCACCCGAAGATGTGAGGAACACGATCATGCACACCGTGGACACGGGTGGGGTGAACATCGGGGGCCTTGCTCTGCCGTTCGGATACCTCCCCACCTCGCCCGGGGGTCCAGGAAAGACCCGCTTCTCTAGGAAGAAAACAGGAAATCCCGCCCAAGCCAGAGGCCAGGACCGGAAGTCCCGCCTTTGAAAGGGTGAGGGGCGCCCCGTGGCCCTCCGAACAGCCCCCCCCACCCCGTGGACGTGATCCTTGGCCAAGGTAAGGATCTCAGGGGATCTCGACAGCGGAAGGGAAGGTTATCTAAGATTTGTCTCGGCTCAGACACGATGGTTCCCGCGAGCACCTCTTTCCAGAGCTGGGCATAGGGTCCCTGGGCGTTCTCTGCCCTCGGATTTAAGTAGGCCATATCCCTCCCATGAGTTGTTTGCCCTCCCAGCGCCTGGGTGCCTCAGGACTGCCAAATCCTCCCCACACCGCGGTTCACAACGCCGCCTCCACTCACGTGCCCGTAGCCAGCATGGCCGGCCCGGCGCCGTCGCCGCCCTCAAGAGACATGGCGGCGTCGTACGTCACGTCCGCGTAGTTGTAGTTGCCCCTCCTCCACTCTGTACATTCTGCCTCCCCTATCCCGGCCGCCCGAAACCAAAATGGCCGCTACAGGGCTTCATCCGGATCAGTGGGCAACGGCGACAGCAGGGTGCCCATAAGAGAAACGTTGAAAGAAACGCTTCAGCTTGCGGGGAAAAGCCTAGATCATTTCGACATGCCCTCAAGAAATATGGTCGTGCGCACACATTCACTCAAGACTACAGTGAAACTTAAGGCGAGCGACCTGATTTCCCCCACAATCAATTTTTCCCACAAAAGTGGAGGAAATTTCTGTGCTGGTTAACGACCTGGAGCCAGCCTGGCTTCATCTGCCCACAATGTGTATGGGGCTCTCCCTCCAACCTACCCCCTTTAAGCACCAAAGCTGGCAAAGGTCCTTATATGGCAGCATTCTGGCTTCGGTTTGCCCAGCTTCAAGATGGCGGTTCAGCCCGCATTCTCTCCACGGCTGACTCAGGATTTAAGAGTCTGAGACTGCTTCGTTTCCGGGGGCACTGACGGCTTCATCCCGTTATCCCGAGTCCCTTAATGCCTCTTGTGATGTACGGTTCCTCTCACCTTTTCCTTTATCCGTTCTTTTCCAGCACTTCGCCGTTGCGCCCCACAGAGAAATGGGACTGCCCGTCATTAACATAGCCTCAGGCGATCTGCTGTGGCCGTGCCCTCGAGCAAAATGGCAACTTTTTGGCTTCGATGCCATTATACAAAATGGAGTAGGAAGTGGGTGTTTCAGGGAGAACTTGAGCTAGGAGGTGGAGCTCTTCTTAGACCTTCCCACTTGTTTACCTCGTGGGGAGCGTGGTAAAACCGCTTGTGCAGTCTCCTGCCCGGCTTTTCTTTTGGCATCTGTGCCATGTGATTTGAACTCTTCAAGTTCAGTTACCCCATTCTGAAAGATGGTTTCACCCACTCCTGCTCTAGAACTGGCAGGGGTAATACCACTATCCAGCCTTGATGGGGGGGCGTATCCTTTCCGGATGTGAAAAACACGTTGACCCGGAAAAGGAGGAGGCCACGGCAGTGGGGCCTTCGGCGGCGGCTATGGAAGTAGCCGGCTACAGGGTAAGTATTCTCTCGCTTCTTCTATTTGAACCGCTCCCTTACAGTGGTCTGCTTCTCCCTGAGGCCGGAAGGGCATTCCGAGAGGTCCGGAAAACCTCCGCAAACACCGATCTCTTTTCAACGCGCTGTCACCCTTCAGTCCACCGCCCAAGGGGAAACCAAATTCCTTAGCCACGCCCCCCGGGTACTGGAGCTCTTTGGGCCCGCCCCCTTTGGAACGCACACCCTCACCCTAACGCCCAGCAGGCCTCTGGGCTGGACCGCTCCGGACCTTATTCTTTTAGCTGGTCTTCCTGGCCCCGCCCCTTCGGGGTATAGCTCCTCCCCGGGCTCGCTCCCATTGGCTTCATTCTGGGCGTGTTGGTCCTCGCTTGGGCCTCTACTCTCCCGGTTCCTGCCCCAGGTGGTCTTTGAGAAAGGAGGCGTGTACCTGCACACCAGCGCTAAGAAGTACCAGGACCCGGACTCCCTCATCGCTGGCGTCATCCGCGTGGTGGAGAAGGTGGGCTGGGAGGAAGCAAGAGTTCAGGCGGGCTCCGAGCCGGCGGGCTGGAGGCGGCATCTGTATGAGTGTTATGGCAGTCAGCCATGAGAACTTAGAAAATGAAACGAGGCTGGGCGCCTGTGGCTCAGGAAGGCTGAGGCAGGTGGATTGCCTGAGCACACGAGTTCGAGACCAGCTTGAGCCAGAACAAGACCCCAGTCTTTAAAAATAGCTGGGCGTCGTGGCAGGCTCCTGTAGTCCCAGCTACTTGGGAGGCTGAGGCAAGAGAAACGCTTAAGCCCAGGAGTTGGAGGTTGCTTTGAGCTGTGATGCCATGGCACTCTACCCAGGGCGACAGCTTGAGGCTCTGTCTCAAAAAACAAAAAAAGAAAGAAAGGAAAAGAAAATGAAGGCCAGGTACAGTGGATCACACCTGTAATCCGCACTCTGGGAGGCTGAGGCAGGTGGATAGCTGGAGCTCACGAATTTGAGACCAGCCTGAGCAAAAGCAAGACCCTGTCTCTACTAAAAATAGAAAAACTGAGGCAACAGGTTCACTTGAGCCTAGGAGTTGGAGGTTGCTGTGAGCTATGATGGTACAGTACTCCACACAGGGCAACAGCTTGAGACTGTTTGAAAAAAAAAAAATGAAATGAGAGGTAGAGCTTTGAAAGGCTGAGAGTGGAGACTGGAGAACTTTGTGAAGACTTTAAGGGGAAAGCTTTGGCAATGGGGTTTTGGGAGCACCTCTAACTCCTCCCGTCTTACCTAGGATAATGATGTCCTTCTGCACTGGGCTCCTATAGAGGAGGCTGGAGATTCCACTCAAATCCTTTTCTCCAAGAAGGTAGGTCTCCCTCACTTTCTCCTTCTTCACCCAGATTTTTCTAGGTGGGCGGAGTGGAAGGAATTTGTGGAACCTGAGTACAATTCCAGGCGGGGGGAGGCATGTGTGACCCTGTTTGGAAACCGGGTTCTTTCTGTCCCCCCTCGCCTCTCTGAAATGAGCTGAAGATGTGCATTCAAGGAAAGAGCAAGCACCATGACACTCAGGTCATAGGGACAGCTGTCCCTCCACCCCCTTTACTCCTTGGGAGAGCCCTGCCAAGGTACAAGAGGACATCTCAGCCTGTAAATTCCAGTTGGTTGAAGGGGTCTGGCATTTCTTCTGGTGTAGTGTGACACTGTGTCCAAAGAACAGAAGCTATAATCCCAACACCTTGGGAGTTGAGGTGGGGGGAGGCTTGAGGTCAAGAGTTCAAGACCAACCTGGGCAATGTAAGGAGACTTTGTCTCTAAAAAAATTTTAAGAATTAGTCTGGCATTGTGATACACACCTGTAGTCCCAGCTACTCAGAAGGCTGAGGCAGGAGGATTGCTTAAGCTCAGGAGCTTGAGGCTGCAATGAGCAATGACCATACCAATGTACTCCAGCCCTGGTAACAAACCAAGACCATATATCATTAAAAAGAAAAAAAGAGGCTGGGCCAGTAGATTGCTTGAGCTCAGGAGTTTGAGACCAGCCTGAGCAAGAGTGAGTTCTTGTCTCTACTAAAAATAGAAAAAACTAACCAGGCATGTTGGTGCATGTCTATAGGCCCAGCTACTTGGGAGGCCAAGGTAAGAGGAACGCTTGAGCCCAAGAGTTGGAGGGCAACAGTGAGACTCTGCCATTGCACTCCAGCTTGGGCGACAGAGAGAGATCCTGTTTTATAAAAAAACAACAACAAAAAATCCACAGTTGGGAGGCTACAGCAGGAAGATGATTTGAGCCTAAGAGTTTGAGGTTGCTGTGAGCTATGATGAAGTTACCACACTCTAGCCTGGGTGATAAAGCGAACCTTTTCTTTTTCGTTCTTTTTTTTTTTTTTTTTTTTGAGACAGAGTCTCAAGCTGTCACTCTGGGTAGAGTGCCATGGTGTCATCATAGTTCATAGCAACCACCAACTCTTTTTTTTTCTTTTTTGAGATAGTCTTGCGTTGTTGCCCCCGGTAGAGTGCCGTGGTGTCTTAGCTCACAGCAACCCCAACTCTTGGGCTCAAGCAATTCTCTTGCCTCAACCTCCCAAGTAGCTATTGCTCTGGCTGTTCTCGAACTTGTGAACTGAGGCAATCATTGCCTTGGCCTCTCAGAGTGCTGGGATTACAGGTGTAAGCCACCATGCCCAGCCAACTTCCAATTCCTGGGCTTAAGTGACCCTGTTGCCTCAGTTTTTCTATTTTTAGTAGAGATGGGGTCTTGTTCTTTCTCAGGCTGGTCTTGAATTCATCAGCTTCAGTAATCCACCTGCCTTGGCCTCCCAGAGTGCTAGGATTACAGGCATGAGCTATGGCACCAAGCCCAGCAATACCTTTTCTGAAAAAAAAAAAAGAGTTGGAAGAACAGGACTGACACTTGATGCCACAGAACTGACCTGCCAGGGGAACTGCCACCACTGCCAAAATGAGGGTGGAAAGGATAAGAATACCATTGATGTATTCTAGCTTCTGTAGTAGAGGAGGGCCCTCTGGCCTGGGAAGGGACTCAGTTGCAGCTAAGTTGCTATAGTTGTCTCATGTATTTCATCCCTTCCCTGTCCTTTGTGGACCTTTGTGGACCTTTGTGGACCTTTGTGGATTGTCACCAGCACCACCAGCTTTTACTGCACTCAAATCCTTAGCATTGCCATCATCTGCACCATTTTCCTAAGTCTGCCTAGCAGCCCTTTGAGCTAGTAAGAGTTGACACTGCTAGTACTGTGTGTTGGGCCCCATGCTGGTCTTTTAAGGTTATTTTTAGAACACCCTATAAAGGACTTACTTTTTGCCTTTATTAAGATATAATTCACTTGGCTCGGCACCTGTGGCTCAAGCGGCTAAGGCGCCAGCCACATACGCCTAAGGTGGCGGGTTCGAATCCCCAGCCCGGGCCCACCAAACAACAATGATGGC